CTTTACAAACAGAAAATAATTTTTGAATTTATTAGTTTTTTTCCACGAATGGCTTTATATCACGTTCTATGTTGTGTTGTTTGTGATAACTCATTTGATGATCGCATTATATATGTGCTCTGAACACCAAGAAACACCTTTTTTGTTAATACTTTACATAATAAGTTGCTTCAGTAGCAATCTATATCCAACAATCTTTAATAAAGTAACTAATTTGACAGATGACCGACAACCGGTCTAGTTCACCTCCTTCAAACACCATTCCAGAACCCATTAACGACAATCAATTCCTCATTTTCGTCTAGTAATGTTTGAAATGGACGGGCATTTTTCATCCACAAGCAATAAATACGTTAATTACCGGACACAAATTTATTCCATTTGCTCTTTGCCCGCACGTGAATAATTTTTCTTTAGCGTAGTATCAACACGTGAGGAATTTATCTTTAAAAAGCAGCTCGGAGAGAAGACGAGATTTATTTTTTGCTGGCTGTCAAGAAGCGAAGGTGTCAATTAGTGTGAAACGATGAAAACTCACTGCTGAAAAGGCCGTCACCATTATAGTGCAGTAAATTTAGTACTTTATAAGAATGCAGCTGCACATGTGACGCCAAAAAGTGTGAAAGCACGTATCGAACTATTTTAGAGAGCACGTTTACGCCAGAAACGCGGAAAGTTTGAAAATATGGAGGAAGGTGTTGAGAAGCTAAACTTGCCAGCTAGGACACAGATCATTTCGGCAATAGAAATAACCCTAGCTGTTGTCTTTACGGTGTTTGCACTTTTCGGAAACACGCTGATCATCGTAGCGTTTTGTAAACACAAGACGCTGAGAACTATTCCGAATTTGCTGGTGTTGAATTTATCGATTGTTGATATCTTAGCTGCTTTAACTGGTCATCCTCTGCTAGTGGCCGTGCTCATTCGAGGAGCCTGGTTTCTAGGGCCCAATGTTTGCAAATACCAAGCGATTTTAACCTCTTCTCTCTTCATGACCTCGCATCTAAGTATCACATTGATAACTCTTAACCGTTATTTCATCATCGTTCATTACAAGAAGCACCCTGTTGTCTTNTTTATTCCATTTGCTCTTTGCCCGCACGTGAATAATTTTTCTTTAGCGTAGTATCAACACGTGAGGAATTTATCTTTAAAAAGCAGCTCGGAGAGAAGACGAGATTTATTTTTTGCTGGCTGTCAAGAAGCGAAGGTGTCAATTAGTGTGAAACGATGAAAACTCACTGCTGAAAAGGCCGTCACCATTATAGTGCAGTAAATTTAGTACTTTATAAGAATGCAGCTGCACATGTGACGCCAAAAAGTGTGAAAGCACGTATCGAACTATTTTAGAGAGCACGTTTACGCCAGAAACGCGGAAAGTTTGAAAATATGGAGGAAGGTGTTGAGAAGCTAAACTTGCCAGCTAGGACACAGATCATTTCGGCAATAGAAATAACCCTAGCTGTTGTCTTTACGGTGTTTGCACTTTTCGGAAACACGCTGATCATCGTAGCGTTTTGCAAACACAAGACGCTGAGAACTATTCCGAATTTGCTGGTGTTGAATTTATCGATTGTTGATATCTTAGCTGCTTTAACTGGTCATCCTCTGCTAGTGGCCGTGCTCATCCGAGGAGCCTGGTTTCTAGGGCCCAATGTTTGCAAATACCAAGCGATTTTAACCTCTTCTCTCTTCATGACCTCGCATCTAAGTATCACATTGATAACTCTTAACCGTTATTTCATCATCGTTCATTACAAGAAGCACCCTGTTGTCTTCGCTAAGCGATCCACTTGCACATTTATTCTGGCGACCTGGGTTCTTTCGTTCGGTTTTGTGCTGTTGCTTTCCTTAATGGCGAAAGAAAACTTCAGATTTCATGCCGAAGAAGCCCTTTGTATTATTGCAAGAGAGAGTGCTTGGGGAGCTTTACTTATGGTTGCGTTCGGAAACATTGCGTTTTTGGCAACGATCAGTTTCAATGCTGCCATTTTCAAATCAGTTTACTTGCATCGTAGAAAAATTAGTTTCAAATTGGACGCTCATCTGCTCGAGCGGCAGGAGGAAGGCAGCAGGTGCTCGAGAAGAAGACGTAACAGAATCTCAATCAGAAAAGAAGAAGTGTACGTCACGAAGAAACTTTTCATCGTCACAAGTTTATATGCTCTATGTTGGCTACCTCAAGGGATACTAAAAAACGCAGGTCTGGGATCTATAGATTTTCCGCGTGAAATATGGATGATTTCTACGTTTTCTTTCCAGTTGACCTCACTTTTTAACCCATTACTGTACGGATTGCTCAACAGAAAATTCAGAAAAGTCGTACTGTACATGCTGCGGATAAAGCCAAACAGGAGAGATGTCTTGTCTTTTCCCGTTACGGCAACAAACTTTTGCGATCGCACCCGTACTGTGGTCACTGCTCAAACAACATCGAAAAACCCGTTTACCGTTAAAGGATGCGTTCTTAAGTCAATACGTTCTCATGAGGAAAAATGTTACAAGGAGTGCTGAGGAAGAATTATCGTCATATGAGCATTGTAGAGCCACGTTATTATATGGTTTAAACAGTTTTACCCGTATTTGCATGACTGTAAGTCTGATTGCGGTATTGCAAAAGGATGGGGACTGAAAAAATGCATTTCTAAAAAAATGCATTATTCTGAAGTGATAGTAAGCTATCACGTAAATTAATTCTTGATGAGACAAAATTCAGCAGTCGTAAATTAACATAGCTATCTTTGGAAACCATTAGTTTAATCACTAGGTCCGCGTAGGTTATTTGCTTAAATTTTTTAAAAGAATTAACTTTGTATTTGATGAAAAAAATCATTTCTAAGAGCTGAATCAGAGCAGTGGATCGGAAGGTCTAGATCAAGTGAATTTCGTCTTCAATTTGGTTTGAATCAGCAAACCGGGCAAAATCTTTTGTCCCGAAGAGTTTGGTCATATACTCGGCTTCGATCATAAGTTTGTGATTGCTTAAGCGTAATCTTACTAAACTTTTTCTATCAATTGTTTTTCTTGTTAGTTTTAAATAACTTGAATTGAGACCTCATTGCAATGCTTAAACGTGCTGTAAAACTTCTAATTTTTTCACTTTATGTCGCCATGTAATGAGCAGTATAATTCTGTTTCATTATGTCTATTTAACAAGCTATCTTGGTTTTATCTAAATTATTAAGATCAAATTGAGAAGACTAAGAATTTGGATATTTCCATTAGATTACTATAAAAACTAGTTTTGCCATAAGAGTGAAGATTAATTGATACATATGGAATGCGTGTTTGAAAATTATAGAGTCTTCATCTTTATAATCTAAAACATACATTATGTAGTTAAGAATTTTGCCATTGCAATCGATCTGCCTAATTCACTTCTACATGCAGTGTGAGAAGTCTTATTACTTACTTCTAGCTATCCCCGCTTGCAAAAGTGCAGATGGATTTTTTCAATTGGGGAACTATCCCACGCATTGAAATTTTATTTCTGGTATATATGTGCCCCAAATTTCACAGTTGTAGGATGTAGTATAGGGGAATCATCGTGTCGACATTTTACAAGCAAGCATGAAAGTTTTTAATTTCCTGATGTCTGTGTGTTTTCTTAAACCAAAAAGAGAATGAAGAGCCTTCTCTTTCAAGTGTTCTAGCGAGATATTAAAATTACCGGTTGAGGAGATACAGTTTCCTAAACATGTACATTCAGGTACAATATTAATGTTTCTTTACCTACATGGAATTCTAGGTTTGAGCTTTCTTCGCTTGTTATTGAAAGATCATAACTTTGGTCTTTTTGGAATTTATATCTAACATCCAAGAGTTACAAAAAGAGGATAGCGTGTCGAGACAATTCTGTAATCCTATTTTGGATCGTGTTAAATATTTAAATCATCAGCATATGAAAGCGCGTTTAATTTGGTACCATTTGGAAGGATAAAAGATCTACGCCAGGTTTAAATATGGGAGTTATAAGACCGTCGCACCAAGTTTTTAGGCACTGTTCCTTAGCTGAGAACAGTATTTTTGTGCAAAAATATGACAATCTTAGGGGTCTTTTTTGTACATGATAATGTTGTAAATCGTGGGAAAATAGACGAAAAAATCCAAAATTCTTAGATGAATGGAATAGCTATGTATAAATTAAGTGAAGAGGATGAAGAACGTAAAAAACAGCCTAGTCCCTTGTCAGTGTAAAGAAAAATGTCATTGAAATTGTTACTTCTGCATATTTGCTGTGTCTTTTCCTCTGGCAAAGCATTTTAAATTACCATGCGTAGGGAAAATGGAAAAGTAAGGCTGGGCGAAAAAGTGACTATTCGAGGGAACGTCATTGTCGTTTACGGTAGTGGCCGTTTTAGAGAGATTTCTAATTAAAAGCTTCAGCGCGCTAAGTTCGGTAGGTGCTTATTCCTTGTTCCAAAAATAGCACGCTTTTTTCGCTGCGCACCCGTCTGCCTGGCAGAGGCGCTAGTTCGGTTGCTGTTTAATTATATAAACAGTAAAGGCGACCAAGGGAAATGTGATTGCGAGCTCAGTAAAAAATGAAGGGCTGTACAAATAAAAAGTCCAGTCAAAATAAAAGAACTAAGATCAATGCTTGCAACTTGTCTTTCAAGCTGGAAGCAGGGACGGCTGTAAAGTTGGGGGGGGGGGTGGGGTGGGTGGTCGGGACACTTGCCAGCATCGTAAGTGGTCGGTATGAGACCTTCTTCTAGAATCTTGCTACGGTATAAATTAAAGCCGGTATAAAGTTGGAAGGAAAATGCCCTGAGGACTCTGTCGTGATCACAGAAAATACACGTCACAGGTTCTGGTGTAAGTGACTTACTTGTGGTGCTTATCTTCCTTGATAAAGTGGCAATCGATCAAAAATTATTTGGCGCCAAAAGATCACACCAAAATCTTTTAGAGCCTGAGGACGAGTTGGTGCGAAAAATGGCGCGAGCTCTAAATGAATTCAAAGTCACGTGTTAATCGAATCCACATGGTCTTCCAAAATGGCGGAACAAATCGTCCGACTTTACAGCTTTCCCGGTTTATCTTCTGGACGGCATGATGTGACTTTATCTAAGCTGAAATCAGCCTCAACACGACTGGAAGTAACAAAGCTAACAACAGAGATATGTTACAATATCAGCGTGCAAGGAAATGAATGCTTAAACGCCGATGAACTCAAGAACTTGTTTTGGCTGTTGACAAGCACTTTTGAGGAAGATACTGTTCGCAAAACTTCTTTCCTTGATGAAACTGCAAGTACAGACGGTTATGGCAAAGTTTTGATTGAAATCGGACCAAGGCTTAACTTCTCAACGGCTTGGTCAACAAACGCTGTGTCCATTTGTCAATCCATAGGTTTAGAACAGATTGATCGAATCGAAAGATCATGTCGGTATTTGATTGAAGTCAGGCCCAAGGACGATTCTACAGATATCACGAAAGAGGAAGAAACCGCTTTTGCAGCTAAACTTCATGACCGAATGACCGAATGTCGATACGAAAAGCCGTTGACTAGCTTTAAGGTAAACGTTCGTGCTGAAAGTTGTTATGAAGTTGATGTTATGAAAGAGGATCGCTCTGCTTTGGAAAAAGTTAACCGAGATCTGGGGCTAGCATTTGATGGGTGGGATCTTGATTATTACACCAAATTATTCCGGGAAAGAGTTAAAAGAAATCCCACCAGCGTGGAATGTTTTGATTTGGCCCAGTCAAACAGTGAACATTCTCGCCATTGGTTCTTTAAAGGAAGATTGATTGTTGATGGACAGGAAGTTGAAGATTCACTGATGAAAATGGTGATGAAAACACAGGAAACAACCAACAACAACAGCATCATTAAATTTAGTGACAACAGTAGGTAAGGCATGACAGCTGGTCAAATCATCCAAAAGTTATCTCACCCAGACATGAATATTACTTCACCCAAAAGTTATTCTTCCCACGTGTTACAGTGTACATGCCATGTAGGCATGGAAAGGCATAGCCTGGTGAGAGATAATTTGGGGGTAAATGATATTGGCAGTGAAGCTTATGGTGCAGAACACCTGTCTATTGCATCAGCCAAACCTGTTCGTTCACGCTTAAGTCTGTGAGTAATGCCATCTCTAGAGCTGCAAATAGTGGTGGGTCCTCGGACAAATATGTATGATTTAAATCTGCCCATGTCTGACAACATCGTAACTCTGATTGGACCTAATGTCCAGAAAAACTAATATCAACTTCTATTGATTTGCAGTAAATAAAATTTACCCTGAACAATTGTGAACTGTCTTCACAACGAAATAACATAATTGTGGTGTATGTATGGCAGTGACGAGTCTAAATCTGAATCCCATGACTCAATTTAGTCTGGCCACAGTTTTGTTTTCTGCAACTAAAAGAGAGACTTAGCTAGATGTTTGTCCTTGTAAGGAAGAAAAAAATATTCTTCACTGCTCTGCATCATTAATTCCATCTTGCTGTCTAAAGATGTATTTTCAGACTTAGGGTGGACCAAGTTATGGAGCTGTGTTCTTTTAAACCCAATTAAAAAAACCAAGGAAAATTATAAATTTAATTAAATTTACAAATGCAGACTCACCAAAAAAGTCATATAATTTTTGTATTAAAGTGGCTGAAACCCAGGTGTCATATTATACAAGTACAAGTACATACAGTTCACAGTAGTACAGTGTAAGTCAGGCAGAAAATAATTTTATATTGGGATCATCTATAGTAGGTGAATATTCTTATTTAAACCAACTTGAAACATCTCAGACCTGGTTGTTGACCTAAGTGGTTAATTAATTTCCAAAGTTATCGGTTGTCAGTCAGTGAAAACCACATGTATATACGTGTACCAGCACATGGTTCATTTTAATCTTCAAAACACACCATTTTTGTTGCAAACTGTACAGCTTGCCTGTCATTGTTTTTTTACAGTGCTATCTCTGGTTATAAAGTTCCATTGTTATTACCTGTCACCTGTAAAGAAGCCACCAAATTTCAGTTAAAGCAAGACTGTACAAGGCACATCATCTTTACTGCCGAAACTCACAATTTCCCTACAGGTATGAGTCACTTTTTAACTACAGCGTGGCAGAAATAGCTTTCACATTGAATTGGTATTTTGTAAGGCAGTGGACTTGAACTGAAAGAGTTTC